TATTATGATGTAATGATCATGTGTGGCACATAAGTTCCTATCATATGTGATTTACATGGATAAAAAGCTTTGTTAACTATTCGACACTATTTAATTTAATTATGTCATATATAGTATCATAAATAAACTTTTTGAATGAATGAAACTCGAGTTAATAAATAATATTTAGTGTTTTATTAATGCACATATAGCATATGTTATTTATATGTATAACATGGAATTTTATATTATTTCGTTATATATTGTTTATACGATTCTAATATAGTAGTTATAATAATTATAATATATGAGTGGTTTGAGACTCGAAACTGAAACTGGAATTAAGAGAGAATTTCTATGTTAATAAATAAATAAATAAATCCCTTCCCAAATCGTGCTTAGCTGAGATTTTTATTTCTACAGGAGTATATAGTGAGATCACTATACAGATATGGAATATATATAGAAAAGGACAATCTAGATCAACCATTTTTCTCACAATCCTCTAGACCAAAACTCAGCACTTGAGCTTTCGTGTCATACACAAACTTTTGCTTCATTTGCTGATAAGCACCAATTATGGTCTTGGAATCATCAGAAAGCATTGACAAGCAGAAAAGAATTTTTCCCTAAAACTCGCCAAACATGAAGACAGCTTCAGGTTTAACATCAAGGCCAGCATTCTCGAAATGCAAATTAACAACAGGAAGGTTCTTGCGGCCATCATCCGATAGGTCTTCACAGCAAAGATCCTCGTGCAGCTTGTGGATGATACGTCTCTTCAGGTTTTGATTGCTTGACAAATGATCTGCCAAAGCCGTGTGTAGTGTATCAAAAATAGGCTTCACAAGCAATATTGTTGCCAGGGTACCATAGTCTATGACACACCCACCTCCACCATCTTTTTCAATGGCAAGATCAGTTTTGGAGATGTTGAACTCGACCCCATTAGCATTTATGCCTGGCAAATTCACATAATAAGCTGGCGAGGGCCTGGCTTGCATAATATTTGTACGTAGTTTGTGAATTTCTTTGGTTTCACTGCGTGCTTGTCAAACCTTAAATAGGTCCTGTGTGTGTTGTTTGCTTTGATGCAGGAAGAGAACTTTCCATCACTTATCATATTTCACATTACACAGCGGGAATTAGTCTTCCTTCCACAACTCTTTCTGTCATTAATATCACTGTACGTAGAAAAGAAAAGAAAAGAAAAAACTAGCTAGTACATGCATGAATCTGGTAGGACTTAATCAACGAGTTTAATTTATTACCATTAAGATTTCCCTTTCTTTCGACTTCTATTCCCATCGTTTATGGTGCCAAATATTGCTATTAAAATTCATTAATCTCATGTTTAATTTAATTATTACTGTTCATTTATCTCTCTCTTTGCATACATACGCGCACAGTCGTCGAACAAGATTTCAGGGGAGAGAATAGCTGGTTATGTGCATAGTGTTAGACGATGAATTGATTCTGTAAAAATGAAAAAGTAATGTAATTTAAGATTTCCGAATAATTAATATAGGACGAAAGTTTTTTCTTTCAAATTTTATATGTAATAAAGGGAAACACTAATCTGCAAACATTCTTCTTCTTCTTCTTCTTTTTTAAAAAAGAAGAATTTATATATTTTTTCTTGAAAATTATATATATTTATCCCTCCATACTCTTTTAAGTGTTCATAGAGATATCAACCCTGATTATATACATATTATTAATAATATATATTTGTCCCTACATACTCTAGAAATGACAATGACTAATTAAATATATATTATTGATAAAAATACAGATGGTAAGATACTAATTCCAGGAGGACCCGACACACGCATACTTATAGAGAGAATTAATTGTGTATTAATCAAGTTGTATTGTTCGATTTGGCATGACCACTTCAATTATTTCTGGATAATGTCGTGGTCGCATTTGCCATACACCGACTTCGAGCGACCATTCCTTTTTTTTTTTTTTTATTTATGTGGAGTGTCCAGACCAGCACCATTACTAATTCTCACGACCCACTGAATACCCTACAAATCTAGTAGGCATGTAAAGCACCACGGGGTGACAGACGTGCACACCAGAGCTCGAACCCAGGTGCAGTGGAAGGAGACAAGCCGCTTCCACCGCTAAGTCAAGCCCTGGTTTGCCGAGCGACCATTCCTTTTTATCTTTTCAGGTGACTTCGAGCGACCATTCCTTTTTATCTTTTCAGGTAGCTTTTGCTGTTCGGTTTTAAAAAAAATAATTTAAAACAATATTTTTAAGAAAATATATATGACATTAAAATTATTGTGGGATGGATGAATGACATATATATCTTATTGAATGAGAAGTAGATTATTTTAATTTTTATAAAATTTAGATTTAAAATATAATTATTTATTGATTATATTATTAAAAACAAAAGTTATTTAACTACTCAAATGATTTTTTTTGTATTTATGTAAAAAACAAAAATTATTATAACACCAAACCATCTTTTAAGATTGTGCTTTGAAAAAGCTCTAAAGTTGAAGCCTTTTCCATGTTCAAGAAATTTAAAAAAAATAAATTTGGATTTATCAATTCAATTTTATTGATTTATTAAAAGAGAGACTAATATATGCACTTATAGCATTCTCCTTGTACTGACTAAAAAGAAATTATGGTATGGTTAAATTTAATAAATCAATAATAAAAAAATAAAATATTATTATATTTAATTTATTTTGATATATTAATATTAAAAATAAATTTTAAATAAATAATTTGAATATATTTTTAAATAAAAAATGCTTTACAAAATAATTATTATCACACCGCCCAACACCGTGATTATAAAAAACGCCCTGTCTTCCATGAGAAAAACAGAACTATCACACCGCGCAACACCGTGATTATAAAACACGCCCTGTCTTCCATGAGAAAAACAGAACAGGAATTGCAGTTTTAGAATGAATGGAAAAAAGGGCCAAGAAAACAACTCTTTGTCCTGATGGATTTTGATCCAGCTAAAATCAATGATCCTCTCAAACCCAACCAAAACCCTCCATTTCTGGCGTCTCACTTTTTTTCAACAATACAGAACTCTCCCCTTCAACAAACCCAAAGCCAAACCAAGACATCGAAGAAAGGGCCACAAAACAAGCTCGAGAAATCGCAATGATGCACCATTTGTGAACCATGTGAAAGAAGCACGAGACCCAGATGACGCTTTAACTCTATTTTATGAGTATCTCCAAAGGGGGTTTAAGCCTGACTACCCTTCATACGCCGCTCTCTTATACAAACTCGCTCGTTGCCAGGATTTTGGCGCTGTTGAGGAAGTTCTTCGTTATGTAGAAGATAATAATGTTCATTGTCAAGAAACCATTTTCATTGCTTTGTTTCAACATTACGGAAAAGCCCAATTGGTCAATAAGGCTGTTGAGCTTTTTAATAGAATGACCCGGTTTAATTGTGTCCGTACATCTCAGTCTTTGAATGGTCTGCTTAATGTTCTTGTTGATAATGGTTGGTTTCTTGAGGCCAATGAGTTGTTTGATAAGGGTTATGAAATGGGGTTCCGTTTGAATTCGGTGGCTTTTAATGTAATGATTAAGGGGTGGCTGGAGAAGGGGGAGTGGGAGCAAGCGAGCAAGGTGTTTGATGAAATGCTTGAGAGGAAAGTGGAACCGAGTGTTGTGACGTATAATAGTCTTATTGGGTATTTGTGTAGAAATGGTGAGTTGGACAAAGCAAAGGGTTTGTTAGAGGATATGATTAAGAAAGGAAAATGTCCCAATGCGATCACATTTGCTTTGTTAATGGAAGGTTCGTGCTTGATAGGTGAGCATAATGAGGCTAAAAAGATGATGTTTGATATGGAATATAGAGGGTGTAAACCTACAGTTGTGAATTTTGGTGTTTTGATGAGTGATCTTGGGAAGAGAGGGAAGATTGACGAAGCAAAATCTGTGCTTCATGAAATGAAGAAAAGGCACATTAAGCCGGATGTTGTCACTTACAATATTTTGATCAATTATCTCTGTAAGGAGGGTAGAGCGGCTGACGCTTATGAAGTTTTGTTTGAAATGCAAGTTGGAGGTTGTGAAGCCAATGCTGCTACTTACAGAATGCTGGTTGATGGGTTTTGCCGGGTTGGGGACTTTGAGGGAGGTCTAAAGGTTCTGAATGCAATGTTGACAAGTGGGCATGTTCCACGTGTTGAAACTTTCCGTTCTTTGGTTGTTGGCCTTGTGAGGTCTGGAAACCTTGATGGTGCTTGCTTTGTTCTGGAGGAGATGGAGAAGAAACAGATGATGTTCTGTCCAGATGATTGGGAAGCTCTTGTCATGGAATCTTGTCGCGGAGATGAAAATGGAAGTGTAGGTGAACATGTAAATGAACTGGTCTTGGCCATGGAAGCGTAATTAAGGGATACAAAACTTAGTGTAACACTCTTGGGACTTTCATCTAGCGTGACACATTTTCTGTGAAGACATGGTTTCAACTACAAACCAGTGTTTAGGTATGTTCACTGATCGGGTTTGCAAATCTGATGAGTAAGGGGAAAGAATGCAGGATTTTACATCAATGGCAAGACAAAGTTATGTCCAAAGATTAGACACATATTGGTTGGGTTCTTATTCCAACACAGAAAGGGCTGACACTTCCCTAATCTTTATAAATGTTTTGTGAGCTACTTGATGTCTGATAAATTTTTTGAAGAGAACGAGACACACAGACGCATAGAGAGATTAGACAATTAATTGCAGAGTTTGTAACTTCTGTTGATTGATCATTATCGAAACCTAATCTTCAATTATTCAGCAGTGCATGGGAAAAATACGATCCATGAAGTTCTACAGCTGCATGGTTCCTTTTTTACTGGAGACATGATAGCACGTTGTCATGTAACACGGTGCTGCAGTCAATAAATTACTCTTCTTTTCCCCATCTGTATTTAGATGCTAGTTACTGTCTGTTCCAAACTTCCTTTCTCAACTGAACAACATGATTTCAGCAAGTAATCAAATGGTTCAAGAAAATAATAATAATAATAAAGGGTTCAAATCCTTCAGTTTTTGTATTGCAGATTTGTTGTTTTCTCATCCGTCTATAAATGACACAATTTTGATAAAATGAAACTCACAATGATCTTTTCATGAATCAAACTTGCAGTGTTTGTAAACAAATTCCTCAAGTTTCCTACAAACATACAATTTTTTGCCGTATCTGCCATGACTTCAGCAGGCAATCTAAGCAAACTGCAATACATCAAAGATAGAGGTATTGAAAAAATGTTGGATTGGTGTTTGTCATTTCATTTACAGGGTCTTGCTTCAAATAATAGAAGGAAATATGTGTTTAAGCTATACCTGCAAAGTGCAAATAAGACCAAGTTTCATCTGTCACGACCCGAATCCTCGATCCATGACCCGAATCCTGGATCTATGACCGGTATATAGGCAAGGTTCCCCTCTAAAGTTCCATGCCTATGCGAACCCAAACTTACATACAAACGGAAATATCTGTCACGACCTGAATCCTTGATCCATGACCTGAATCCCGGATTCATGACCGGTACATAGACAAGGTTTTATACCTATGCGAACCCAAACTTACACACAAACTTATCCTAACTCAATCAGAGTTTAACGTATCATTAATAACAAAATCAACTTCATAATATAATTGGATTGTTTTAATACAAGAGTTAATATAATTTCATAGTTTTGGAGCACTAATTAGACATAAAGAAAAATGTACGGATTACAAACAAAAAGGTAGGTTCTAAAGGTCCAACAAACGTGACCTGCTATCAAGCTATAAGCCTGGAAATGATAAATAATAAGAGTGAGTTCAACCACTCAGTGAGTAGATAACGTTTAATACACACACACACACGAGATAATACAACAATGAGAAATATATATACAAGTATGGATTTCGGTTCTTATAAAAAAGGTTTCTCAAATAGGCCATAACAAGAATATCATATGGTAAAATCGTCAGAAAATCAAAATGCAATGAGCATGAGGCTCCGTTCTGTGGGATGATCAGTCCATTATTTTTTCAAAAACCCAAAAAATTAACGGTTTTATCGAAATCTAATCCATAATAAAACAAATAATAAAATTGATAATACTTCACTTACTAACCCTTAATCATTCATCAAACCTATCTGTAAAAGTTAATATTATAGCTAGGAACTAATCTGTAATTTATTATATTTTTAAGGGTCAAATTGTAACTTTATCCATTTGGAGAACCAAACTAAAATCATCATAAATCCATGACTATAATGAAATTCTGACCATAATTAATCCTCATTTCTGTCCAGATCATCTCATTATACTCTAGGGACCATTCTAGTATTTTATCAAATTTTTAGGGTTAAATGGTAATTTTGTCAAATTAAAGGACCAAATTGAAAGTGTTAAAATTTCATAACTATACAGGAATTCTGCCCATAATTTATCTTTTATTCTGTTCAGAATCTCGGAATAGGCTCCAGGTACCAATCTGCAAATTTTCCAAAGTTTAGGAACTAAACTATAATTTTCCAAAATTGAGGGACCAAATTGAATTTTCATCATCTTCAACCTCAAACCCAGAATTTTCACAGATTAACTACTGTTATCCCCTGATTTCTAACACAAATTCACCATTCAAACAAAAACATAACTCAAAATAATCATTTTTATCTACAATATCTCAAATTTAACTTAACAATCCATTATTCATAACAATCAACCCATAACATTCAACTTAATTTATCAATTAACCCAAAACACAAATTTTCAAAACCTTAACATTTATCAAAATCGAAATTAAAACTTAATTAACACATATTTATACATAATCTTATCTTTAAACTTATTTCCTTCAACTCCTTTCTATTTTTCTTCTAATTTTCTTCTTTTTTCTTCTTTTTCTTTCTCCCTTCTGTCTCTTGCCGATTCTCTCTCAAATTTCAGATCTCTTCTTTTGTTTTTTGTTTTTTTACTATCTATTTATATTTATCAAGTTTTGTTGAATTTTTGTACTTTCTATTTATATTTATCAAGTTTTGTTGAATTACTACGCTACTCCTTATTCATTTATACCCACACTTTAAGCCATCAAAAGCTTTATTGTATTTTCCTACTCATTTATTCAAAACATCACATCATCAATATTATATACAGCTTGGTTTTGGCTGCTGATTTCATTTCATGCTGCCTACAGAATTCTGCTTTCTTCATGAGTTTATCCATCATATATTCTCAGGCCATATCTGGACCACTAGGAAGAGGCTCATAACCGTCGTGATGCTTGGCAGTGTTGTCATCTTTGTTTGTTCCAACAGGAATGCACTTCAGGATGACAGAGATGACTAAACTTGCAGCTCCGATTAAGACACTGGCCAACCATAATTCCCACCTTAGTGGCACAATATTAGCATATGTGCCCAAGAATTCAACTATTACAATCTGGAAAGTAACTGTGGAGAACATGACAGCCAAGAAAATCCAGCTACTAAAGATGCCTTTGAACACATTTATCTTCTCCATATCTCGGCTGTTTATTTCATTGAACACCTGAACATATGTTGAATATTTAGTGATAAACTTCTACGAGATGTTGTAGTGCTGAAGAAACTGAAGATCAAAGTATGGTACCTGGCAAAGCACAAAGGTATTAAATATGAAAGTATTCAGGATTTTAGTATCATCTGAATCAGAAAGCTTCAGTAGATGTTTCCCATCAAGCTGGAGGATGACAAGGACACTTATTTGATAGATGCTTTGTCCAATGATATTCCTCCACATGGTCTTGGTGATTATGCTTACATTCCTTCCGATTGGAGGTCTTTTCATCAGTCCATCATGAGGTGGTTCTGTAGCCAATGCTAATGCACCAAGAGTGTCCATGATTAAGTTCACCCAAAGCAGCTGAACAGTGGTCAATGGCTCGCCGCCTGCAAATTATTTCACCATTTTTAGTCATGTATCTAGAAGTGCACATGTTCAAAATCCAACAAAAATCAGTCAAAAGACATTATCCAGTTATAGTTCTACAAAACAAGCGTCCTTGAAAGGAGAATTTAGAGACAATCTTATCCTTCAATAATTTTGAATGAACTGACTGCTCTAGATTCTCAATGCTGCATCCTTTTGATTAAAAGTTAACAGTTTGCTATTTCACCAAGCACCGGTCCCTAAGGCCTAACGTTTAGAACTTAAGAGGTTAGGGATGCAAAGGAACTAGCCCGAGATGCACGCAGAAATGAAATTTATCATGAGAGCAGCAACATTAGCTGTTAACTGGAACTGAACAAACTTCTGAATGTTAATATATACTGATCGACCCCATCTTGCAACATTCACTATAGTTTTAAAGCTGTCATCCATTACAATAACATCAGCACTTTCTTTTGCAACCTGCAGGAAATAGGAGAAAAATGCTGAGTTTCTGCCTAATAGAAGTACCTAAAACAGACATCAAAGGGAAAGAGAAGGGGAAAAACCAGGAGGGCCAGGACATTAACAAACCTCTGTTCCTGCTATGCCCATAGCAAGTCCGATATCTGCCTCGGCCAAGGCTGGAGCATCATTACTACCATCTCCAGTCACTGCCACAACTTCCTTAAATACACTCCTCAATTGAGTCACCAATTTATGCTTGTCCGAAGGTGATGATCGGGCCATAACCTGCATTACCGATTAAACATTTTAGAAAGTTTTACACTTGATTAAGAGTAAGTTATTGAAGCTTTGAAGAAGTTTCAAGACCTGAAGATTTGGTATTATCTCCTCCAACTCCTGAGGACTCTTACAACGGAAATCTGCCCCTTCAATTACCAGGCCATAATCTGTCAAGATGCCACATTCCCTAGCTATTGCTTTTGCAGTGTTGATATTGTCACCAGTGACCATACGCACAGTAATTCCAGCATCTAAACAAGTCTTAACAGCTTCCTTCACCTCAGGGCGTATAGGATCCTTAATTCCAACGACAGCGATTAATGTATAGTTATTGTCAGGCATGTTATTTGCACCAGAAGTGGTCTCCATATCCTTGAAAGCCAAGCATAGAGTTCGTAGAGCTTCACAGGCAAAACTATTTATGACATCTGTGATTTTCTGTCTTTGCTTTTCAGATAGCGGCACAGCTTTTCCATCAGCAGTTAACATCTTGTCACACATTTTCAAAATTATTTCTGATGCACCTTTGCAGAAAGCTCGAAACCCACCGTTGTTAGGAAGAGAAACAAGCACAGACATCTTCTTCTTTTCTGAATTGAAAGGCTCAACTTTCACTATCTCAGATTCGTTATGATGTGTTTTAAACTCGCCTCCTAAAATTAATCCAAACTCTAAAATTGCTGTCTCCGTCGGCGTCCCCAAAATGTAATCCCTTCCATCTTTTCCCTTGGTTACCTCTGATCCTGTGTTCTGAAATATAGATTGCAAAAGGATTCCATGCACGTTTTCTGAGAAAGAGGACATTAATAAATCTTTATTGCTATTAGTTTGTATTGATTTTGTTTCTTCACAGATCCATATTTTGTTCACCACCATATGATTTGTAGTCAATGTTCCAGTTTTATCTGTGCAAATGCAACAAACAGAACCCATTGTTTCACATGCGGAAAGATGCCTCACCAGTGCTCTATCGTGCATTAGTTTCTTCATTGCAAATGCAAGACTAAGTGTCACTGCTAATGGAAGCCCTTCAGGAACTGCAACAACAATTATGGTTACAGAAATGGAAAAGAAATTTAGAAGCTTCAAAGCATCACTACTAGACCATTTTGTGATCTCATGGTGGTCTGCCTTCACCAATAGAAACCGTGCCAGCAGAACTAAAAAAGTTATCACAGCAAAAGCCAAACCAATTTTTCCAATAACAGTTGCAACTCCATTAAGCTTCACCTGTAATGGTGTCTCATCTTGATCCACTTCGCTCAGATGAACCATCAACGTGCCCCATTCAGTCCTCATACCGACTGCTGTCACCAGCATTTTACCAGACCCATCCTGTATTTTGGTACCTGATAGAAGAAAGGGCCTCTTTTTATTTATGTCCACTGGCTCACTCTCTCCTGACAAGCTGGATTCATCAACTGATAAGCTGTGGCCTGATATAAGAATGCCATCTGCAGGAACCCGATCTCCAATTGATAGATGAACAACATCTCCAACCACCAAATCGAAGATAGAAACCTTCTGTCTGCTCCCTTCTCTGGTAACCTGAACAATAACATTCTTCTTCTCCTTGTCCAGGACCTTGAATTGCAAGGCCTGCTTGTAGTCAGTGATTGCAGTGACCATCACTACTAGCAAAATGCATATTACTATTCCCACCCCATCATACATTCCATTCGGCCAACCTTCAGTTGCAATACCAACACCAATGGAGACCACGGCACACACCATCAGAATAACTAACGTCAAATCATGCAAAGCATCCCATACAAACATCCAAAAAGATCTGGCAGGTTTCTCAGAATATCGGTTAAAGCCGTATATATTTTGCCTAATAGATATATCACTTGAGACAACCCCATCATTCAAGGAAACAGATACTTCTCTGGCCAATCCCTCAACTCCTCCATGAGATTCCAAGTCATTGATATCATGGGACCGAGCGAGCGCTGCTAGTTCATCCGGTCCAATGCCAAAACCATTTTGCCTGACATTGTCTGAGAGCTTGTGCTCAGCTAGATTAGCAGCTGTATCAGATAAAACCATATGATTCAGAAAGAAAATATAATTGGAATAAATAAAATGTTACAGCATCTAGTAAAGATTATACCCTCGATGAAATGCAATGCTGCCTTGTTGACATAAAGAGCTATCCGTATCTTTTCCTGGCCAAACATTCAAGGATGTTTGTTAATTCAAGGAACTGTGAGATAAAGAGACAAACAGAAGTGCCAACACTCTTTCTTCTACAGTGGCACAACTACTAGTCCAAGATCAACCAACAATAGATGAAAGAACAAGATAACTTTACAAACTACCAATTTTCGCAGAATTTATTGAGTGCCTTCAAAGCTAGCAATGATTTCTGTAACAAACTCAGACACAGAGTTAAACCCTTGGCCGCCAGTCTCACTAACCTATCAAACAATATTTTTGTGGATGGATGTCATTATTTTTGAAGAGCTAGTCATCCAGTACTCCTGCTTCTGTATGTTTTCAAAGGAGCTAGGAGCTGTCTTGTCTCAACAAAAACCAAGTTTATACGAGTTTAGTCATGCACTGATGATATCTAGGTGTGTGAGATGAAAAGGGACGACTCCACTCTCCATCATAGTTTTAATAACCTGACATGGAAGGTGAACTGATTTTTTTTTTTTTAAATATCAAAATTATATATGTTTTATTTTTCTTTTTTTAAAAAAATATCAAAATTATATATGTTTTATTTTTTAAAATTAATACTAGATTTTGACTGGATAAATGATCTACTGAATCAATTTAGATTTATAATCAAGACAATTGAGTTTTTTTTTTTTCTAGATTGATCCAGACACTAGGTTAGTTTTATCGACATGCAAGACTAGTCTAAATTTTAAAAATATTTTTTACATTGTTGTTTTTTATTTTGATAAAAAAAACTTCTTTGAAAAAAAATCAACAAAATATCAAGAGCAAGTTCAGATTAATTGGGTTAATATGGATCTTTAACTAAATTAATTAATTAAGTTTTTTAACTTGATGAGATTTAATTAAACTCTAGATATTAATTGAGTTTCAGATTAACTCAGACCGGTACAGATTTTAAAACAATGCTATTCATTATCTGAAGAACATAAAGGTACGTTAATAATAGAGAACAGCTAATTTCATTTTCGTGACCACAAAAAAGCATATTCAAGTAATAAAAGAGATTATATATATATATATATAGTATGTTGAAAATTCTAACAAGTCGGTGCATATTCAAGTTGCTAAGCGCATCCAGTTTTGGCTAAGAAACAAATGGAGTTGTACGCGTTGCTTAATATTCTACCTTCTGATCGAGGACAAGCTGTCATTTTTTTATGAACATGACATCTGCCCTCATTTCAACGTCAGAGACCAAACGGGGATTTTGCATTGGTAGCTAGGGTTTCCAAGAAAGCTAAGAATATCGTTGGTTTCCTCTTCCAATCTCTTAAAAGAATATTGACCTGCCTTCTTTAATTATCAGCTATTTAAAACAGAATATACTAATTAATAGAGGAAATTAAAGAATACCCTCGTTCTCGTCTCATCTTCTTAAATCAAAACAGGTTAGTGGCTAACCTGTGGAAAGGATGCATTCAAATTAAGCTCTGAAACTTTAGCAAGCAGTTAACTCCAGAAATGGTGGTGTCATGAGAGGGAGGTTCCCTAAGATCCATATAACTTTTACAGTGATTGACGCGGAGAAAGCTATGAAGTTGTGTTTGACACATGCCTGATCAACTCTAAGACTAGATAAAAATGTACAATTAAAGTTGTAAAAGTCTATAGTTTTATTCAGCAAAAAGTCTCGTCAAATATGAAAAGAGACATTCGTAAATAACTAGGAAACAACAAGCTAGGAAAAATAATAAAATTCAAATCTAAAATTAAAGAAAAAGTCTAAAAAATAGTTTGAAATTTCAAAGGCAAATTTGATAGCATTGGGAATCTGAGCAGCGAATAACTTTGTGGCATCTGTAAGGGATCAGCTTAACAAGAATGCTGAAGTGATATCTGATCAAATGAATAGGTTGAGAAATGTTAATTCACAATTTTTGGTTCAAGAATGCATCACATAATAGTAAAAGCCCTCGTCCAAATTTCTAAACCCGGCCCCACCCACCGTTAAAAGGTTTGAACACGGACTTTCCGGCGATAACAGTCATATCGTCCCCTAGGGTTAATGCTAATTGACGACTAACAACTGCCAGTCCGTGATAAGAAATATCGGCAAAGGGTCACTTTTTCTTAGCGAACATCTACTAGCCAACCAACTAAAAGCTCGAACTCAAAACTTCCATGACTTCTTCAGAAATGATCTCAAGCTAAGCAAGGGGCACATCTCTGTTTGGGAGTTGAATATTCTTGCTTTCAATCGATGCTGATTTTAAAGAAATTGTTTTTTGGATTGTTTGCGAGTTGATATACCTAAAGGTTTACAATGAAACTTCATCTTCTTCTATAAAACTCATTCACTATTTACAGAAACATATAGGAACATTTTGTCATGCATCAATTAGACTCAGTTTCTTTTCATTCGAATATTAATTAAAAAGACTTGAACCCTAAAAGATTTGCGAAATCTTCTTTTATATATATATATACACACACACACATATACACAAATGAGTTATGAAATGATTATTTCATAGTAAAAAATTATTAGTGAATTCACGTGTGTGTGTGTATATATATATATATATATATATATTGACTGAGCATATTTAGAAAAAATTAATATTTTTTTTTAGATGAAGGCCGATGGTTTAAACCCAAGAATTTAATAATAAGAGTGGTAAAAACACGTAGTATAAATAATTAATTAATGTTGAATAATTTGTGTGAATTAGGTTAATGTCAATAAAAATGAGCTACAAGTCAACACTGAGCCGTCATTTTGTTGCCAACAACTTAATCTATGATAGCAACATTAACGTCTTCAAAAATATAAAATAAATTCAAACACATCAAATAATATTTAAAAGGGAAAAAGAAAAACACGAACAAGATCACAAAAACTTGAACAGCGGGGCACTACAAAGTTTTCTGACCTGGAGATTCTTACGTTTCCTTTCAGCTTCTGCTCTTTTGGCAAGATCAGCAACCATTCGAAACCTCCGGCGAGGATTCCTGACGACTGAAACTGCAGATCTCCATCTTCTTAAAGCTTGTTCGGAGGGTCTCTTTGCATCAACTACAAAGTTTTCTTTCAAGTATTGCTCCATGTAAAGTTTGTCAAATCCAAACGATCACAGAGAATAGAATGATGTATCAAGAAATGAAAATCATGGAGCCAGCTAGCTAGCTAGCTAGGTGATATATACATATATATTCTTGTTGAGAAAAGATTCAATCGTAGCCGTGAAGGGCGGGCGCAGGAAACAGGAGACAAAGAGAGAGACTCGTGAAGAAGAGTGCCATAAACATATGGGCTTGAATATATTGTTAAAGACCAGTTGCATAAATGGACTTGGTTTGGTTTCTATAAGATTTTAGAAGAAGATTTTTCCAAGTAATTTAATAGGAAATAATGGAAATACGACAATATGTATACCAATATTATGATTGAATTCACGGGATAATTAAAGGGATAACATGTGATAAAGCTTCAAATATTTAACAAAGACAATTATGCATTCTTTATCAAAAATTTATTTTTACTTTATCAATTTTTATACTTATTATTTTTATACTTATTTTTTTTTTAATTTCATCATTTAATAAAAATTAAAAAAATTATTTTTATTTTAATTCTTATTTTTTTAATTTCTATTTTTATTTTTAATCATTTTACATAATTAATTTTTTTTTCAATTTCAACCTTTACTATTTAATTAGTTGAGAATTAGGCTTTGTAGTTTTTTTAGATAAAATTTTTCCAGTCTTAGTCTAATAACGAAGGTTATATTGGTCTGAAAAGTTAACGCGGGTTCATATTATTTTTTTAATGTACTTTCTTCTTAACTTTCATCATTCAACATTAATTTTCTTAAAAAAAAGAAAGTGTTGTAATTTTTTTGTTGTAGTTTCTATCAAATTGTTCTCATCTCATGACTATGCTATTTGTTTCACAAATTAACTCAAGATGACTCAAACAATTTTATTACCCAAGTTATGTAATATTAACTCAAGTTGAATCGAATCTTTTTAATGGATTAGAAATTGAGTTACAACATTTATTCCTTTTAGAATTTTTTTCAAGGTTATTGTGATTATTTTTTTAATTTGATCTATGTACTATTATTTTTTATTTTTTATATCATCTAATCAAAATAAAACCAATCTATTGAACCCAACAAGATTTATAACTTGAGTCATAAATTTTTATTTATATTTTAAAATATGTTTGCATCATCTAAATATTAGTTTTTATACAAAAAACAAATTCTGACTTGTAGCATAGCGTGGACCATTTCTTATTAAAAAGCTAAAAAGAGTGTAAATTTATAATTGCAATAAGATCAAGCAATTTTTTTTTTGTAAAAAACTATATGATACAAAACTAAAAAGTGTGCATTCTTTTCAATTAAAAATACAAAAAAATGATGTTTTTATATATTTTTTATATCAGTATATTAAAACCATAAAGAAAATACTTAAAAAAAATCAATGTGATACTTTTTTTTTGCAAAAATTAGTTTAAAAATCATTTTAAAAAGTAGCTTGAACAAAAAAAAACCAAAACACTAAGGCTCTCACATTAAAATAAAATCTTATTGTGGCGAGAAAATAAAAATAAATCAAGAAGGAACAATTATAGCAACATTAATCATATGAACCTTCAAGAAATGACAGGTAATTGATTAGCATATATTAAAAAATCTTATCATAAATAGTGAAATGTTTTCACATTTTTTAATTTGAACCTTACTATCACGTTTTCTTTTCTTTTATTTCTAGTTTTTTTTTTTATTTTATCTTATAATATTGGTTTAATAAGTATTAAACTTTATACTAAATCACTCTTGTTTTCTACCAAGATTATGTATAATAGAACAATTTTCTGTGTATCCCTAGAAATTAGAACTATATATATATATAGAAGACAACAGATTATATTAACAAAACATGAACATGTAGCTACATTAACAAAAAAAAAAATCATTTATTTAAAGATGACTACAAAAAGTTGTATTTAAAGATAACAAAACATGAACATATACTCTACCATGTTGATGTCTAATATAATATTTTTTAAGCATGACTTTTATGTGTGGCTTGTACCATTGTGTCCTAATATTGTTGTGCGGGCTGTCCTATATATGGGTCCATAATATCTTTATGCAGACCCATCATAGGTCCCTCATATTTTTAGGCAGATGCATATGATTATGATGAGCATAGCACCACTGCTCAACATTTTCAACACAAAAGATGGCTAACACACACACACACACACACACACAGATAACATCAATTACCAGCATGGTGCACAAGCATGGTGCACAAGGTCCTGCCCCGGGAAGAAAGTTGCATAACTAAAAGTAGAAATTTTATTGCTAGAAAATATAAACCCAGTTGCTTTCTCATACGACAAAAAAACCAATTCAAGAGGCAAGTATTCGAAAATGTTCCAAGCAAGTTTCAAATGTCCTGAGTGATTGCCTTCTCAGGGCCCTTCCAATGGTCATCTCATGATAAGAAGCACGGTGAAGCTCAAGTTTATATATCACTGTGTTTAACCTCACGAGAAACTTCCCAACATGAGGCTCCAATAGGCAGTGAATTTAGAAGAAAAAAATGATGGAAATTCTACATGCTCTAAAAAAAAAAGGAAAAACAGAAAAAAAACAAAAAAAAACCCTACCAAGAATGAGCATGACAAAAATCACCACAGTTTCAAATGCGATTGTTAGCTCTGGTGCTAGATTCATGAGTGGTGGTAAAAGAACTGGTTACAGCCCAGATATGCATGTAATGTGCAACTTATCTAGTAGTACCTTGGTGAACCAAAGCAATGTTCCAAACAATAAACAAAAAATGAAATTCTAAATTGCAAAAGTTTCCAAATTGCAGCTAAGCATGCATGCCAGTACACAGTCAACTGCTAACTTATAAAAATAGTTCTGGGAAAACATACTGGCAGAAGTTTGTTACTATACGAACCAACATGCATGCAATAAATCCTTTGTGTGCACACTAAGATGGAACAATGAGGGCACAAGTTATTGCCAAATGAAGCATATCACCTACAACAAACTTGCATGTGGCACACAGCAGACAAAATAAACAAAAAAGAAAATGAAAATCATGTAACTTTCAATGGAATATCTAGAGGCTAAATGCCGACCATTCTGCAATAAATATCCAATTAAGGTACAGTAATTGAAGCCACCAGATTGCCAGTGAACAAGGTTATGAAAGTACAGGAGTTGCAAGCATGTGCCACAAAACTTTTTGCATTCATACAGGTGCAAGATCTTAGGATCCAGAACCAAGATGTTTGCACCATCATACACAGCTACGGAATTGTCACATGTCATAATAATAACATAAGTGATCTGAAGGCATTTTAGCGAGAGGAAGGCTCTACATGTCTTCTTACAAACAGCTTCCCTACATCTTCTGTCACAACATTACTCCTGGAAAAACCGAATTCAAATCATCAACAGCAATTTTATTTTTCCTTTTCTTGCACTTACGATATGGCCAAATTAGTGCCTGAAAATAAAAAGAAAACTGCAGACAAATAACAAAGATCTGAGACCTATCAGTTGCAGAGAGACAACACGGAGCTTCAAAAGACTCAAAAAAAGTTGTAGTGGGCAAATTAATTGCCAAAACATTTCTAAAGAAGTTGAGGAATCATCCATATGATGCGGCTTTTTTAGTGCACGCAGGGGCACCAGACATGGTCACATGACCATCCAAAACCAAACTGCATGGAAATGCTAACATCTTAATTTCAAATTATGGTCAAGAACAAGAAGGGCAAAATAACACAGAATAACATTCGTGCATGTAGTAAATAGTAAGATCAAATGCCATGCCTCCCTCAAACAAAAGAAAAATATAAAATAAAGTCAAACAGCAAATAGTCAGGTCAAATGTCATCCCTCCCTCAAATAAAAGAAAAATATAAAATAAAGTCAAACAGCAGACAGTCCAGTAGTCTCATTCCCAGGACGGAGAAATTCCATAAACGATAGTAAGCATTAAAGATACATTACTCTCTAGTCTCTACATCCAAGGTCATCTATGAGGCTGTCGTTTCCCAATCTTACAGCTAAATACTCAAGTGACTGGGGAACTCTATGTAAATCAGTAGCTCTCGCAATCGCAGTCTTCTGGAGAACTTTTACTTCCTACTTTAAGTGCAAATATAGCAAAACAACCAACCACATCTGTTAAAGCTATATCTCCAGCTCAACTTCTGCTTAGCAGTACACATCATAAACGCTGGATTTACCATTTCCGCCACAACCATCGAGTTCCATTTCAACTCACAAATCTAAAACTTTCCACAGCATAAATTTCACCTAAAAACCCCAAAACCACCTCCATAAACAACCTCAAAATCTCAAAATGCATCTATGATTCACTAATGTACTCTCATTCAACCATTATTTTAACTTCCATTATGAACTAACGCAGAGCAGCAAAAGAACAAATAAATTTCATATAAGATCTACAAGACAGAGTCCATAAAAATAACTAAAAATCTCACCTTCCTTTAAGCTGAGGAGGAACTAACAAACCCCCACCAGTATCAGGAACATTCCTAGTAGCAACCAAATTCCCTCTTGCTACTTTCTCACTACGCGAAGACCCCACATTCAATTCTCTCTTGCGAGACGCATTCTCAGCCATTGCTGCTGATACTCGGGACGCGTGATCACTTCCAGATAATCCAACTATCGGCGAATTCAAAAGCATTGAAGCATCCGGAAGATTAGATATTGACGGAAGAGGGCTTGGCCCTGCTACTTGTTGTTTTGGTAATGACGCCCCAGATGACCTGAAACAAAAGGAAAGGAAACAACTTTGAGCAAGAATTAAAAAAAACCACGATTAAAAATCTCTTCTTTTATCTGAAACTTAGAGAATTACTGGCTATTTTGTGGCTTTGCGGCTTGTGCCTCGAATTGTGGTTTTGGTTCTTTTTCTTCATGTAGTTCTTGTTGATGATGATGGTTTTCGTCTTCTTCTTCTATGTTGTGTGGAACATCCTCGTCCGAGGAAGAAGCGTAGTCTACTAAAGACATATTTTGATTCTCTCCCTGTCTCCCAGTGTCTTGTTGTCTCTCTTTGATATTGGAAACTACAGGCTCTGGAGCTCCTTCTCTTTTCCTTTTCTTTTTGATAATGGAAGCCTCGGCTAGTGGCTGAAGAATCCAGGCCTAAAGCTAGTTAGCTCGCGTGCCTCGTACTATAGCTACGGGGCTTTTCATCGTCCAAGGGATATTTGGATGCACTAGCCACTCTAGAGTCTAGACGTTCATCTAAACCCTTTTTTAGATGAGAAGTTAATCAAAGTTGATAGCTAAACACATATTAAAAAAAAAATTAAAGTGACATTATAAGAAAATTTTTATATTATTTTAATATAAAAAATACAATTTTAAATAA